TAGTGTAGATCAGTTGTTCATGGGAGTCTGGCCGATCGATGCATCTACTGCTGTCGATGCATACAAGTAGATGTACCAGAAGCGCGGTACTGCTGCCGGAGTACTTCTGCAAGAGTGGCATGTTCCGAGGAAGGATGATAAACTTCGATTCTGTTTGGCATCGCGGGCCGAGCGGGATCGATGGACTGCTGTATTTCCTTCGTACGTTTCATTTTGCCTGATACATATGGTACCAACGACGGCTGACGAGCCTGCTTTTGCTGCTGTTTTGTTGCGTTCCATCACCGTTTTTTTTTATTTTTGAAACGTTTACCTCACCCTCTGCTGTAACCATCGAAGCTTTTGCGTGCGTTGGACTGGCGTGTAGGAACGGTTTTTGATGCTAAGACAACAAAGAATGCTGCAGTAGGTTCGGCGCCGTTCTCATTCTGTGGTGGCAGCCGACCTACTTTTGGTTTCCGGCAGACTCCATGGGAATGACGTGCCTTGCAACTCTCTCCTGGAGGGATCCACCCATGATGGTCTGGGGGGTGCTACGATAATTGAAGAGAGGATCGTTGCGTCCGCCGCGGCGCGGTGGGGGGCAGCGACTGTTGTGTGTGTTGTATGACCAGCTGCCAATTGCCCCGAGATGTCAGCGAAGGCTTAAAGGTTGGTTGTGCGGCATCGGTAATACGTCATTAGGGGAATAGAGCTCGAACGGCATTCATTCGGGAGGAGTCCTCCCTGGCTGCATCGTTTCTTCTCTTGATCGATGCTCGTGGTGTGTACAGGGTGTAGCGGTCGTGCATATGCGTTTGTTGTACGTTCTTTTATTTTGGGTTGTGGCATCCATTTTGTTCTGGACATAAGTTTTCATGACCATTCGTCAGGCTGAGTCTTACGGTGTGATTATTTCATTATTTCCGAGATTTTTTTTTTCTCTCGGGGGGAAGGGGGTGGCCCGCACGGAAAAAATTATCCAGATCCAAACGACTGTCTTACGGTTCCTCGAGGTATATTTTTTTCTGAAGGGAAAAAACAGGCTGATTCATGTTCTTGTGAGTCACAACATGCTTCAGTACACGGTTTTGGCTCGTGTGCGACCAACACGACACCGAGCGCCCTGTTTATGGGTCGCCTGCAGAGGGCATGTGTATCATCGCAACGCCAGTGGCGGAAGTTTGTGGATGTCGTCGGGCAGAGGCCTCTCTCTGATGGCATGCGTTGTAGACTGATCACACTCGACTCGGAGCAAGCGGCAGAAATAAAAAGCAACGTGCAAAAAAGGCAACACCGAACCACACCTCGATTCACGTTTGCAGGCCGTGTGCAATCAAAACTGGACAATACGCTCTGTTTCTGGGACGCGGGCAGAGGGTGTGTATGTATGTGTATGACCACACGCCACTGGCTGCTGTTTGTGGATGTCGTCGGCCAAAAGCCTCTGTCTGGCATGCGTTTTTGACTGGTCGCGGGTAACACACGGAGCAAACACGCGGCGGAACAAGAAAAAGACCAAAAAGTCAACACCGCAACACTCTTTGGTTCACGTTTGCAGGCCGTGTGCAATCAAAACTGGACAACACGCTCTGTTTCTGGTACGCGAGCAGAGGGCATGAGTAAGAACACACGCCATTGGCTGCAGTTTGTGGATGTCGACGGCTTAAGGCCTCTCTCTGGCATGCGTTTTGAACTGGTCACACATGCAGCATGCGCAAAAACGGCTCTTTTCGGCCCAAAGGCAAGAACGTCAGCAGAGCAATGTGGCAGGGTTGACGTTTTCGGCTCGTTTGCGGCCAACACGACGCAGAACGCCCTGAATTTGAGATACCTGCAGAGGGTTTGTGCATGACCTCATGATGTTGGCCTCTGTTTGGCCAGCAGACGGTGTAGTTCCTCGTTCTGGCACGATCGGGGTGTGACCAGGGGGTACCCCCCCCCATTTCTAACAGCGATTTTCCAACAGGGTCGCTGTTGAAAAATGGGCCAATTTTCTAACGGGCCGGCCGGAATCGCTGTTGGAAACTGCGCTGTTGGATTTTGGGCTGTTGGAAAATGCCATTTTCCTACCCGTTAGACGCCCAAACTATTTTTTTGGCTCAGAAAAGGACCCCCCCCAAAATCCAATCCGGAAATGTTTACACCGTAAGACTCAGCCTCATGCTTGCCCACATAGTTCATTCAGACGTTTTTCATGCAAGAGGGCCGCACAAGATTAATAATGTAGGTTTCGCAACAACCGGTAAATACCAGTCGAGTTCCTTCGGTCGGGCAGGTATTATGGTAGGTTGCGGGGCGTATGTGAGATTGGTCGAGTGAATAGACGTCAAGGTGCAACGAAAACATTTTCGTTTCTTTGCCCCCTTGACGCTGCCATGCATGGAGTCCCGATGACGAGCGTATCACGAAAACCCTGCGTGACGAATAGTCGAAGCTCTTGAACAGGTGTCCCGGGGCCACTAGCGATAGCACGCCGCGACCTTACGCTCGAAGCAGTTTTTTCCCGCAGTTGTGTCACCCGGGTACCGCAGTCTCTGGTACTGGTACGGAAATGGACTGAAGTCGAATCGTTTGGATGCGTACTTGGTTCATGGCGCATTTAGCGCTACATTGCAAGGACGTGCATGGTGGGTATTCCTGCCAACTCCAATCACATCCAGCCTAGCACATAGAAGTATATATCTTGCTACTACACGTTCTGCCACCTCCCTTCCTCTCTCGGCCGTAGTGTCCTCCGCTTGCATGTTTCTACGCTTTGATTTATTTACCGTAGGACGCGAGAGAACGCACGGTTCAGTGATATCGCACGTATCGGTGAAATCGCACCCCCGTGCGCAAAAAAGTCAAGAACGGATCATGTAAAAATCGATGGCACCCTGTGTACCATTCCCCCTCATACCGTTTTTTATGGGTGCATAAGGTTGCGAGAAAAGGTAAAGTTTGGAAACTTTTCTATTGACAATAGTCGCGCGATTTGGAGAACAAGTTTGCGAACCTTTCTCGCGCCGAATGTGTCGAACAAAAGGTTAGTTTCGCGGAGACTTCCGCTAATAATCCAAGTCAAGCAACTACCACTACGACACATTGCACACGTAGACCCCCTCTCCAGCTTCGAATGGAAAGCACCGTGTTCACCGATATCTCGACGAATACTAAACAAGTTGCCTCATGATTGGTACCCGGAAGGAGGTGATGCCATGGGCTGTTGGGCGATGCCAACGTTTGGCGCCTGAAGGTGCCGAACGCGCCGGAAAAAACGTTTTATGTTGACGCCCGAAAATGTCAACGGCCACGGGCGGTTAGTAGTTCGGTGTTTTTGACGGCCACGGGTTTGGTTTTCCACCGATCCGATGAAATTTATTTTTTCGAAGGGGGAAGCACTACAGCCATAATAGTGATGCCACTCGGCGGGAGGTAGCTCTCTGCTCTACATATCTTTCATGCCCAAGTTTGGTACCGTGGGGTATCGTGCGCGTCAGGAAAAAAAAAGCTTTGAATGACCCTAAAATACCCACATCAGAGAGCGGGTACTTCAAGTTTGCGGGGTTTGTGTGCTCATGGTTTTGGCTTTTCCAGCGATAGTTTTTCGAAGCAACAGCAACAGCAATGCCACCCTGAGGGAGGTAGCTCTACCCAAAATCTTTATAGTACCAGGTTAATTGCCTTGGGGTATCGTGAGTGTAGAGTGTGGAGAAAACAAGGCTACTACTACCCTTTCCCGCACGCTCTAGCCGGTTTCTTCGCGGTGTGGTATGAAGTGGTGTGCCTGCTTCTTGTCTTTGTCTTTGCTAAAAAAAAATGATCACGCCTCCGCATCTCTTTCGTCCCGTGAAGAAAACTTCCTTCGCCCCATAGTGAGCGTGTAAACAAAAGTTTTTTTGACAAAAGTTGCCGACACAAAGTTGCCAGAAAACTTTAACTTTCCTAGCAACATTATGCTCCAATAAAAGGCGGTGTCACGCGATTGGAGTGTGTTTTGGAGTCCACTGTTTTCCCGTATCGACGCACGAAGATGTCGATTGGCGGCCTCTCTCTGTTCGTCCTTATGCCAGGAGCTCACATGAACTTCTCCGCTCCCCGCAGCACCCCCGCGTCCCACGGCAGGTTAGTTCTGCTCAGGGCACCCGTTCTCTTTGATGCGAAGTTCCGGACGCCCAGCCGTTTGTCTAAGCCACAGGAGAGTGACCCTATTCCCTAACCCCACATCAGATGGGGTCTTGGTCGTCTCTCAGATTAGATACGAATGGATTTTTTGCGATCTGCCTCTCATACAAATCCGAAAACCTATCGTGTTGCCTCGCTGATGAAGTCCGCATGATGGTTCGCACAGAATATTCTTCGCTCCTTCGATCTATGCGACGACAGTCGAGAGCTCTTTTTCGCAACCCAACACACGCGGACGCCTTCGTTCGCTGGTCACAGGACCACTACCCAGAGAGGGTACAACCGAACCTACCGCTGCATTATTTGTTTTGTCTTAGCTTCAAAAACTGTTCCAACATACCAGTCCAACGCACGCAGTCGCCTTCGATGGTTACAGGCCAACTACCCAGACACGGTTCATGTACACACGTCAAGTACACCTGAAAAATCGAAAAACGGGCGCAATAAAACAGAGCAGCACAAAGCAGGCTCGTCAGCCGTTGCTAACCCACAGTATGTTCAGGTAAAATGAAACGTACGAAGGAAATACAGTAGTCCATCGATCCCGCTCGGCCCGCGATGCCAAACAGAATCAAAGCTTTATCATCCTTCCTCGGAACGTGCCACTGCTATTGTACTATTGCTCCGGCAGCAGTGGGATATGCATACTACTGTTCTGACGATCAGTACATCGTTCGGTCAGACTCTCCGTTGAACAACTGACCTACCTGTACACTATATCCGCGAAATGGATGTATCATCGAATCAAATATTACGACCACAGGATACCATACGAACGGAACACATCAAGCGCAATATTGCCCAATACCCACACCCTACCTCTCCCGGGATACAGGAGTCCATGCCCATGCTACAGCAGCGGTAAAACACTGCCATGTGAAGTAGCCGGCGGTCTCTGCTTCAACTCAATCACAAAAATTAAAATTACCTCTTAACGTACAAATTTGTGAGCCTCCTTCGTATCATGCATCACAGCAAAGCACGAGAGAGGTGGAAAGCAAGGCTAAGGCTTCGTATTCTTTCGTCAAATGGGTGGTGTTGAGGAAACACCAGGTTGGGTCTGGGTTGTTGTGCAACAGCAGAAGTGGGTGAGACTTCACCTGCTGCAGCAACGAGTTGAAGCAGTGGCACATCGCACTATAATAGCAAAAGCAGTAGCCGTTTGCCGCGATCGCTTAGCCGCCGAAACCGTAGAGGGTGCGGCCCTGGCGCTTGAGGGCGTACACCACGTCCATGGCCGTCACGGTCTTCCGGCGAGCGTGCTCCGTGTAGGTGACAGAGTCGCGGATGACGTTCTCGAGGAACACCTTGAGCACGCCCCGGGTCTCCTCGTAGATGAGTCCCGAGATACGCTTCACACCGCCACGGCGAGCCAGACGGCGGATGGCGGGCTTGGTGATGCCCTGGATGTTGTCGCGAAGCACCTTGCGGTGGCGCTTGGCGCCGCCCTTGCCCAGACCCTTACCGCCCTTTCCGCGTCCAGACATGATTCAGTTGGTGGGATTGACAGAGGAGGAGAGAAGTGGTTGTGAGATGTTGTGTGAGGTAAGGGGTGGGGGGCGGGGCAACAGGAGAATAGTCTGGTGTGAAAGCTCCTGCGTCGTCCGGGCGATCCATGTCTCGAAGAGAAACAGACTGGCGACGCTGATTGGCCGTGAAATATTGCCTGCAGGCTTTACCGGACAGGGTTACGCCGCCTTTTTCGAAAAACCATCGCAACCCGCGTGGGTTGGCGATGCCTTGGGAGCATGGCGGTATCTGCCTGTGGAAGCGGGTACGTGAGAAGCAGGCAGACCTCTTCCTTCGAATGATTCAACAACCATCATTAATCATTTGAGGCACGCCATACGTAGTGACTTGTGTGGGTGTGTGCATACGCGCAGTAGTAGCGAGTCATCGACATTTGCCCCGCGCTTCCAAGCACACGACATCCACGCCCACACTCCCCCCTGATGTCTTGCTCTCTCAGCTGTTCTTGCAACGGACGGCAAACACACACAACCCACCTTGACTATTTACATCTTCAGTGTCAGTGATCGGCGGCCCATGTAGACTGGACCCACGCCTGATGTGTTTCGCAACACGCCGGCACTTACACCGACGCCCAAATAAGGCCGAGTTCGGAACGCACGCCACACAAACCTGCTTGGCACCTGGCACCATCATCCGCCATCGCTGTACAGCCTCGTGGTGTTGTGTCTCCAGAAATACCACATGATACTTGGGAGGAACTCGCCCGAGAAACACTGATGGCACTGCTGTGTGTTTCAAAAGCCTCAATCTTCGTTGTTGGACCGAATCCAGGTCATTGTGCGTGCCCGGTACTTTGCACGATGTAGAAAAAAAATGTTTCATCTACATACTTTTAAGACTCCCACCGCTGATGGTGCTGTACACGTACCGTATGCTGCGCGAAGTCGTGACCTGCAAGGCATGAACAGGTGGGTCGTTGATAAGGTTGTTTTGAAGTGAGGTAAGGTACTCTCGTTTTCCGATACATATATATGTATGTCACATGATGAACGAAAGAGAGCCCGGAAATTGTACGCATTTTCTTGTCGAGCTGGTCCCGGGAGGGTCCAACCAGTTTGTCTACTGCTGCAGTATCCATACATACATACATACATACATACATACATACATACATACAAATGATGAATGGAGAATTGAGGCCTTTGCAAAGTTGAATCGACATGAAGGACGGGCAACAGCCTGACGGTTTGTCAGCTCTCAACGTGCAAACATCGTTAGCTGTCCTCCTCCTCGAAATCACCACTATCTTTATGGCCGGATGCTTGCTCCTTCCTGCTGTCCAGGAGGTCGGGTTGGATGGCCGGGTACTTGATGGCTGTGACGCCAAACAAGAAGAATTGTCATTCCAGGCAGCAGTGCTGACAGCCTGTGGTTTCAGCGTCAGCAGAAAAAATTCAATTCCATGTAAGTGTGCAACCGTCCGTCCGTCCGCTGAGGCGTGGATAGATATGTGGACAAATCGATGCCGTCTTCATATATTTACCGACAAAATGGACCCCTCGCTGTGGGTCCCCACGTCCCCGCCCTTCTGTACAGCAGGATGGGGATCAAGACCTGATCAAGAATGACAAAGAGAAGACGGTCGTGATTCCGCGGCATCCACTACAAACATATTTGGGAGAGTCGGTCAACCTCAAATGTCATGGCGTGTCTGCTGCCTTCTTCCTGCGTGTACAAGGCCTGCGTCACAATAGACGTGGCGTATATATGTCTTATGATAATTTTTCACCGTCAGGTTCCGGACAGCCGCATCGCCCGTGCCAATACCGCGTCATACGAGGTCTTTAAAAGAAGGGCCTCGTCGTCCCCACTGGATCGTATCGAATCCTCGGTGTACAAGAACGCCCCGCGCGGGTATACAGCGGTAGCAGCATCCAAGATGTAGACTAGCCCACGTTCCTCGAGCCCGAGCAACGAGGGCGGAGGTTGTTGGCACCACCCACCTCTGTCACGATTGCCATGCTCCCGCACGCTACCAACCACGGTAGCAGGGAGTTTATGTCCACAGAGGCGTGGTATGTTTGAAAGAACACATGAGTGGGCGGAGAGAATGCGAACAGGTGCCCTGCTTCGTTCGTCCTGCGGCGCAAGGTTTTCCCGGTCCGTTGATGTTGGCGACAGATTTTCTGGAGACGTTGAATGTCCTCGATGCACTGGGAATGCGTGCACGTAGTGTCTGGTGTAGACCTCGCGGTCGTCACAAGAACGTCGATGGTGTCATCATCTCCAAATCATTACCGGGTGCGCTCAACTACTTACGACACGATCATACCCCGGGCGCTTCGTGTGCGCCTCCGATTCAGTAATATCAAGAGTAGAGCATCGACTGACGTAAGAGTCGGCGTGTATTGTCGAATCCCGTGAGGACAGCTGCCATTCGACGTGCTTTGCCAAGATTATCTGACACATTGCATGTATGTGCTTCAGGACAGACGCACAGCAGAAGGCGGCCACCTTACAAGACGGGAGGGATATCAACGTACTTGCTTCATATATCAGACACGTGATGGGCAAGCCGCAAGCGATAGGCCATGCCGAACCGGAGAGCGTCCACTGCTGACCGTATATCCTTCACGTGGGGCTGGTTGATGGATACTGACTTCTTCACGGAGAAGAGTGGGAGAGGGTTGAGACGTGACGGACATGGGCGCTTTGGTGAAAGCGGAAGAGCGGGGGCTGGGAAGGTTGGTGCTTGCAAAAACAAGTGCTCTTGACGTGTGTTTAGCACAGGTAACAACCGATAAAGAGCTTACACAAAGAGTGGAAAGGCGGTGGGAGTCACTCACATCCATACTTCACTCACAATGTCGACACCGCACAGATGTTTTATACCGGGGCAGGGGACGCGTGTACAGTACACCGAAAACTCAATTTGGTCGCCAACAAAGGTCGAACTTGAGCGGTTTCTTCTCACGTTCGGCTAGCTGTATTTAACCGATGATCACGTGATTCGGACGGTGAAAACAACGAAACGTAAACATGCCTGGACCGGAAGGTAGGCAACAATCCCAAGTATCCGGGACCATCGGCGATCTGTATAGCCCGGCCCTTCCTGTTCGCCTCTCAAGACAGACGGAGAACTTTACAAGTCACTTACCAGTCCCGCACACACGGAAGTCAGAACAGCACGGTACACGAAACAAGAAGTGGCATTTTCCTCTTGATTTCTGGGTGGTGTTGAGTAAACACCAGGTGGTTGATTGCATGCAGGCCTAACAAAGCCAGAGGGCGGAAATGGCACCCTCTGGCATGCAGTGGGCTAGCTGCGAGAATGGATGCGGTTGGAGCCAAGAGAGAAGAGGACGGGGCTTTCTTGACCAATCCAGATACGGCGCTGTTGCTCTCGCTTAAGCCTTCTTGGGAGCAGCCTTCTTCTTCGGGGTGGAGGCCTTCTTCTTGGTGGTAGGCTTCTTGGCGACCGCCTTCTTCTTGGTCGCAGCAGGCTTCTTGGCGGTGGTGGGTTTCTTCTTGGCCACGGTCTTCTTAGTCGCAGGCTTCTTGGGCGCCGGCTTCTTCTTGGCGACCTTCTTCTTCACCACCTTCTTGACCACTTTCTTCTTCACGACCTTCTTCTTGGGGGCGGGCTTCTTTGCCTCGGGGCTAAGCTTGTAGGAGCTCTTCACCTGCAACACGTGGCAACCACGAAACGTACAAGCAACAAGCATCCGATTCAGGATTCAGGGGCACCGACTGGTATCGAAACAGCATATGTACATACGTGCATCACTCAGCCAGGAAGCTGAAGAAATACAGGTAGATGACCTCTGTTTTGGTTGAAACAGATATACCCCCCTATCGCTCTACCTTGCGGTGTAGTTCTTGCCTAGACCCGAAACGAACCAAAGAAAACGACTTGGTGCTATTATAGGTGCCCAACACACAAGACGCGACACCAACATGAAAGGCGGGAATTTTTTTTGCTGGAAACCAACACACTCAATCCTACAGCAGCAGGGAAGGCTGGCTCACCTTGATGAACTTGCCGGACTCGGTGCCCTTCTTGAGAGCGCTCCTCATCTGGTGAGGGGTGAAGTTGAGGCTGGGGTACGTGGCCATGATCTGCTTCTTGAGAGCAGGGAGGGACGAGCCTCCCCTCTCCTTGAGAGCCTTGATGGCGTCGAACACCATCTGCCACCACAAGAGACACAAGAGGGAAGCGTTATGTAGCTTTTCCGGAACAACAGCCTTTGTTCGTGTGCTGCTGTTGCTGTGGCGTCGAGTGCTGCAGTCGTCCAAAATAAGTCGTCCTTTCGGGACAGGCGAGACAAGTGTAATACACGCTGCGTGGTCGACAATGACGGCTGAGGTGTTGTCATTTACGGGAGGATTGCCACGCCGTTCGTGGCGTGGAAGACCAACGGTTCACCTTTCGAGTACCTTGCTTACCTGCAGGAGCACAACAAGCCTTCCAACGACGATGACCCACATAGACACGGGCACAGCAAAGTTACATCATTGTAGAGCAGCCATCGCCGACATAAGGCCATCCTTGATCCACTCTAATCTACTGCCCAATATGCTGCTGTAGGTGGTCGCACACGGCAGTGTTTCGCAAGACGATCGTTTGCCTCTCTCCCGTTTTACAACTGGTTTCCACCTCCCTGGTTGAAATCCTTCAAACCTCTCAAACGGACATCGTCTGCATGTCTGCATGAAATTTGGCACAGAACTGCAACTCCAGCTCGACTCACCACGCTGTATGTCGGCTTCGCGGTGGTCGCCATGGTTGCTGCTGTTGGGGCTCGTACACGGAGGTGGGCAAAGAGAGCAAGAGACAGAGAATGGGGTGGGGGAGAGCACAGAGAGCTCAGGTTTCCCAAATAACGCCTTATGTGCCCGTTCGCGGTTCAATCAGAGCAGCAGGTCGAAATCTGGCCAATCAGCACGCGCTACACTTTCAAACTTATCCCGCCGCGTTTTCTCGCCCTCTGCCTTTCTAGCTCTCGATCTCTCTCGATCGCTCCACCCCCCGCCGTCGATCACTCTCTCTCTCTGTCCTCTCTCTTGTCCACAAACCTTTTCTGCCCACACAAGCAACATGGCTCGCACGAAGCAGACTGCCCGTAAGTCCACCGGAAGGCAGGCCCCCCGTAAGCAGTTGGCGACCAAGGCCGCCCGCAAGTCCGCGCCCGCCACCGGCGGTGTGAAGAAGCCCCACCGCTATAGGCCCGGCACCGTGGCCCTGCGCGAGATCCGTCGCTACCAGAAGTCCACCGAGCTGCTCATCCGCAAGCTCCCCTTCCAGCGCCTGGTCCGCGAGATCGCCCAGGACTTCAAGAGCGACCTCCGCTTCCAGGGCTCCGCTGTGCTCGCCCTGCAGGAGGCTGCCGAGGCGTACCTGGTGGGCCTGTTCGAGGACACCAACCTGTGCGCCATCCACGCCAAGCGCGTGACCATCATGCCCAAGGACATCCAGCTGGCGCGCCGCATCCGCGGCGAGCGATCTTAAGCGTCCCTGCTTTCCCGGCTAGTACCTGAAGGGTTGCTCACGTTCGACCGCACCGTGAGTCCCGCCTGCAAAACCTGGTGTTTATTCAACACCACCAAGATCACGAAAAGAAAAACTCCCGCCGAGTGCAGCCACTGCAGCTGCTGCTTGCAGCATGTGTTTGTTTCCGGAAAGGTTTCCTTCCTGCGGTTGGGTGGGCGGTCATCGATCCTCTAGCGGGTGGGGTTCAGCACAGCTGTCAGGTGGTTTTGTCAAACCGGCCGGAAACGTTGACGAGGTGCTCATGTTTGTCCACAATCTAGTATATTTCCCTGGTACTTCGCAGTGCTTTGACAAAAGTTAAAGTTCAAAGTTTCCGAGAAAATGCCAAATCCCAACGGCTGACCTTTGAATTTTCGTGACATATTTTCACTCGACGCGTGTGCCCCGTGATCGTGTTGTGGGGTGCTACGAAATTCTTCCCCTCTATGCTCTAGGGGATCAGATCATCTGCGGTATTCGCGAATACGAGACAGCTGTGCCTATCCCACGCCCTGTCCCAGTGAAGTGTTGGTAAAATAACATTCAATTGCAACATGCCACCGATGATCGATGCGTTTTACATGTACCCGATATAAATACCGTCGGTGGCGAGGATACCACGCCTTACTGACGGTTTGAAATACGGTTGATTACTCCGCGACCAAGAGGATGCCACAATCAAGTGACGCGACCAGCTCGGGCAGGGCTGGACTGCAGTTCCCTGTGGGCAGTGTCGGTCGCCCCTCAAGAAGGGCAAGTACGCGTCCCGCGTGGGTGCGGGAGCTCCCGTGTACCTGGCCGCCGTCCTGGAGTACCTGGCCGCCGAGGTGCTTGAGCCGGCCGGCAACGTCGCCCGCGACAACAAGAAGGCCCGCATCATCCCCCGCAACATCCAGCTGCCCGTCCGGAACGACGAAGAGCTCAACAAACTCCCCGGCGAGGTGGCCATCGTGTCCGGCGGTAACATCCACGCCGTGCTCCTCCCCATTTTCAGAGTTTCAGAACCATCTCGACGAGGACTTCAACGCCGTTCTCGGTACCGCGTCGCTCAAAACCGGGGGGGGATCTACGCGTCCTTCAAGCAGGTTGCCCCAGATGTGGTAAAAGCGTAATTTACTCAACTAGAATTCAAGCAATCGCACACACGCACCCTCGAGACCACCAATCGTGGCAAACGGTCAAGTCTCTCATTCGTCTCCCCCTATGCCCCCACAGACACTACGCCGCCGCTCGTAACGAGGACCAACTAATAGTCAAAAGGCGGCCTCTCGTTTCGGCAGGATCAAGCCATAGGAGGAAGTCGCCCAAACTCTTCCAGCCACGCGTCCTGCAGGGCACGAAGGGTGTGGGGCGCACGAAACACGAAACACGTAGCAGCGGCCGCAGCAGTAGCGGTCATGGTCGTCGTGCATTGTTGGGCTCATGCGCGTGGTGTGGCAAGGCTAGCGTAACGGTCAGGGGTACGAAACCGTCGTTTAAGCGCTGTGTGTGACACCAGACCACCAGACCGCCCTCATGATAGGCGTGTGCCGTCGGGAATCCAGTGCACAGCAGCAGCAACACCAGTAACACTTGGCACGTCCATGTGATTTTGATTTTCTAAAATGGCGTGGGCCACACTCTCCTAAGAACCACAACCATTGATCTGGTGAAGGTATGCATACGAGTCGAAAAAATGGTATATCTTGGCAACTATTTCTCGGCATGGAAACAGCTCTCAATGAGGATCGGGGATGAAATTACAAAAAAAAAAGTACACGTACGTGTTGGGCGTGTGTTCAGGTTCACAATACCATCACCAGCGAAGCCAGGATGAGTCCTGAATTGTACACAGGGTAAGAGGAGGGTACCTTCATGTGTTGGTGCATGGCCGCGATCTTCTGGAAATGTTCCTCGCTGCTAGCCCTTGGGTCTTGGGGAAAACGGCCTGACGAACAGCAAGGAGCCGAAGGACCAAGGGAAAAAACACCAAAAACGAAGTAGGAAACAGGTGATGCAATTGGCTTGATACACCAAAGAACGAACAAAATCGATCAGCTTCTTTCCTTCCTCGCAAAATAAAAGAGTGCGTAAGCCTTGAGTTCACACATTTTCCTCTCCTCCGTTCTTTTCGCCTGTTGACAAAAAATATAGTGACGATAGTAGAGCATAGGAGCGTCCAAAACTCTTGATGGTGATGGCGGCACGGAACAGCACAAAATGGTGACTCGACTATACAAAATCACACCGTAAAACTATTAACTGACGTGAGCTTGCTCTTGGCGCTGTTGAGAAAGAAAAAAACACAACCAAAGCAAAACAAACCAACAGGCACCCGTGAAAATGAACAGAGAGGAGCAGGGAGACGAAAGAATAAAGCAGGGTCCAATACGACTACAGGGACACTTAAGAACAAGACTTGTCACTTGCCCAAGCTTGGTTTAACACGTTCCCGTGCCTCCCAAGACAACGACACCGACTACACACAACAACAGCAATTCTCACCCAAAATCATCGCTGCCACCGCGTCCAGGAGGCCCATCTCAGGAGGCGGGGTCACCTCGCTCCCATCCCCTCCCTCCTTTCCGCCATTCCCCTCTCCCCCCTCTCGCACACTACCAACGCCGTTGCCGGAAACCCCTGAAGCCTCCTTGGCCTTTAGCTGTTCGACGACACTTATCTTTTTTTTCTTCTTCCTTTTCTTGTTGGCTTGTTTTCTTGCCGCAGCGTCCGCTGCTGCCCCTGCCACGTTTGCTACGTCCCCTGGCTGCACCGATGCTTTTGTGCCCCCCCCTCCTGATGATTTCCCCGGTGTTGTGCCCCCTGCTGCTGCTGCTGCTGCTGCGGAGGCGGCGGTTTCTGTTGGCGGTTGCGATGCCTCCCTGTCGGCGTCATACCCATAGTCGTTTTCATCGTCCTCGTTCTCGCCGTTGTACAGGTAGTCATCATCGTCATCACGGTCGTTATCATCTTCGTCGTCGTCGCTGGGAACGAATCCGTAACCTTCCTGAACACGAGTGGAGGGAGGAGGCAAAAAGGACACGTGGAGAGGGGGGAAAGGCACTCGGAACGACTGAAGGGTACAAACTCCTCTCGGAATGGAAGAACTTCCAACGAAACAGAGGCAGAGCAGGAACGACAGAGGTGTGTCATCACTCCACGCGCTCTGCACGTCAGCTGTTACGCCTGTCGGGATGTCTTGGACACACCAGGAGGGGTCACATACAGCAGGGGGAAGCTCCCATACACGAGTTCGCAAAAAAAAAAAAAGGTCCAGGTCCCTGGACATGAAGGTCCCTGGACATGAACATTCAACAAGAACCGAAAACACACAAAGAGAGGCTACAATTTTCTACCTTCTGTGGGCATGCCATAGTGCAATGATGCACACAAAAACAGCGGGGGTCGCGACACCGTTGTCGTATGATCGCGCTGGTTCGTGACAAAGTGCCTAGCTGGAAGCGTCGTTCGCTAGGGTAGCCACATAGCGTAGCAATAATAGGGTACAGCACGTGATCTTCTTGACAAGCAAGACACAATATACAACACAACAGCAGCAACAAAGGCGACGACAACAAATACCAAAAGCAACAGCAGGGGCAGCAGCGGCGGCATGTTTCTTGACACGAACACACTTGGCCCACCCAACCATGCTGCGTGCGCAACCCACAGGACAGCCGCAAGCACGCCGAATAACTCGCTTTCCGCAAACACGTATTGGTACTCCAAGTTGTAACATTTGCACTAAAATAATCACGCCGCGATCACATCAGCAAAACAATGAAACGAGATCTGTGTACACGAATGCTTCACGCCCCCTCCCTCCACTCCCTCGATACTCAACCCAACACAAGCAACGAGGCAACCAGAAATCTTACCTCCCCCTCCTCGATCTCCAGCCTGGCGATCAGGTCATCGATGTCCTCGAGCTTGGCGTCAAGGCTTTGGACCACGGCTGCCGAGACCGGATCGGCTGCCGCTCCGTCCCCCAGCCCCCCCGGGCCGCCGTCGACGCCTCCGCCTGCCGCGATAAGTTTCTCCTCCGCCATGGCCCTGCGCCTCTCGAACATCGGGCGCACCTTTGTGGGACGTGCGGAGAAGGTTGGCAACAACATTGTTCGGGACCTTCAGTGTTTGAGAGCAGTCGCTTCGTGAAAAATTGCATGTTTGCAGCAGCCAGGCGGACAGGTAAGTGTGGTAAGCTCCGCCCAGCCCCCCCCAAAAAATAAAACATTTTCAATCGTAGGCGGGGGGGGTGGTAGCGCCGTACCTCTGCAGCCAATGTATGCTCTCACATCCACGTAATCTATATGGACAATAAATCAACGGGGTCATTCAACGCCAATCGCCTGGCCAAAGAAGAACAGCATCACCAACTGGAGCAGCAGCAGCAGCAGCAGCAGCAGCAGCAGCAGCAGCAGCATCACCAACAGCAGAAGCAGCATCACCAACAGCAGAAGCAGCAGCATCACCAACAGCAGAAGCAGCAGCATCACCAACAGCAACAGCAGCAGCCTTTACCTCGATGAGTCTCTCGAGTTGCTCCCGCCTTCGCTCTCGCCAGGCCTCTAGCTCTGCCTGCCTCTCCGCGTTAAGCCTCTTTTCTTTAGCGTCGCGTTCCGAGGTAGCTACCGCCTCGAGCTGCGCAAGCATGTCGCGTTTCCAGACCTGATGCACGGTTTAGAGACATATATTACATCACGGGCTTCGTAAGCTACTATAACATAACACGACTGGCACTGCTGATCGTGTCTACACGGCTTGGTGCTTTCTCCGGACTTACAGTAGTGGGATGGTTTGCTGGTGACCCCGTGCATTCGCCAACAAATCGAGAGCGTCGCGAGGGGCATCGTCGACGCACTGGGTAGACCAGACCTCGGAACGTTAACAGTTCATATATACGATCAGTATCACAACAAACACTATTTTTTTCGTCCTCGTTCTCCACGGAAAAGCGAGAGCACAGCGAGCCCTCCGTACAGGTTGGCCCACCGATGCTTCGCACAACAGCCGGGTTGTCACTACTGCTGCAGAACAATTCCTTGGCTACACGTGCCCCACCCCCATCCCCAAACGATACACACGCCGAGGAGAATGGAGAAGGGGGGGGGGTGTACTCACAGTCGTGCATGCCGTAGTCGTTAGACCATTGACCTCGCATCCCTACAAAGCCGGGACGGAGCACGCCGGGTTCTCACCGGACCAGGCTCTCACATCACCAAGCGCGAAGCGCCGTGAGGTATTCGGCGAGTCGCATGAAGGGTGAGCTGCATCCTGCTAAGGGTGTTCGGCATCTTGTGCTTACTTCCTTGCGTACAGATGACAGCTGCGTATGACTTAATTTATTTTCTGGTGCTTTCACTTCCAGAGACAGTTGTAAGCATTGTGCAGCTGCCTCGAGGATGTTTGACCAATTTAACACAACGTGGTGCGATCATCCCCCTTGCGCGGAGTGAGGTTTCTCCACCCCGCACAACATGATCTACTCGACCACCATTATGGTTACCGCCAAAAAAAAAACAGAGGCAAAAAAAAAAAACGGTAACCTGGATGCCGAGTTCACGAAGTGAACTGGCTTGTTTTACAACGTCGTTGCCAAGCGACGAAAACCCAATTCCGATGGCAAACACCGAGGGGGGGGGGGGGGGTACTCATGTTTTGCATGCCTTAGTTATTAGACCAGGGGGGTGGGTGGGTATCGGTCATTTGTTTCGCACCAGGTGTCTATTGGTGCCTAGCAGTGCCGTCCGCACGGCCTCCACCGCCCTGCAGGGGGACGGTGTCGTAACCGCCGACCACGCCTCTGAGGTGGAAACCCCGCCGCCGAGCATTGCCGGGTAGTCCACCACTGCCCAGGATGACCTCATGGAGGAGGCCTCGCTTCGCCGGCGCATCTCCTGCGAGTTGACGGTGGAAATAGGGCACCGATAAGAGGGTGTGGCATTGGCAACTGGCACACGAGACTGGACGGAGAGATCCGTTGGAAATGTAAAGGAAGCAGGGACGGGCAAGACAGAGAGCTCTGAGAGATAGGGGAGGCGTTTCATCCCGACCGTTGCCGTCTGCGTGTGGAAGAGCAGTGAGAGCGAGAGAGAAAAACTCAACATTTCACATCTGATGCCCAAGGTTGTGCAATCCTCGGCTGTTTAGGATTCAAGTACAAATTGCGGCCGTTCGTGTTTATTTCCATCTAAAGGACCAGTCCACACACGCACACAAGCTGGCCAACTACTTTCGCTTTCGGAGAACCGCTCCAAGGGACAACATCACATCAGACGTTCTTATCATGGGTCGGCAGCAACCACTTAGCGCGGCTGGCGCTAACGGCCCCCAAACTTGGAAATGTCGCCTCACCTCCGCGAGCGTGGAAGTGTCAGCGTGCACCGCCGAGCCCGTCTCGAACAGTTCCTCGGAACGTTCCGCGAATGACTCGTGGAGCGCCGCCCGAACCTTCCCCCCTACGATGTCCGCCTCTTCGGCACCCTTGACGCGAAAACCGCACACCCGGGCTAGGTCCACGAGGAGTACTGGCACCGACGAAAGCTGGTTTCCGGTGATATTGTGGCGGTTTTTGAAGGCAGGAGGGGGGGGGGGGTCAAAGACTGGCCAAAAGGGAGCGTCGGGGCCACGGGGGGTCACTCGGTAACACACTGCAACCCGGTGGTCAGCGTGGGTGCGGGCAAAACAACGAAAAAGTGACAACGAAACACCCCGGGGAATGTGGTTATCACGCACGAAATCAGAGACCTCAAAACCAAAAATCACGAATCCAGGGAATTGCTATGGGAATACAAATACAGCGCACCAAGCACATGGAACTTGGGTGGCCGCGCTTCCCTACAGGACAAAAACCCAAAAGGTTTTCAATCGCTTTTGCGAGCAAACAAAAGCGTCTCCGGTCCAAGTACTTCCGTTTTAGTGTCTCATAGGCTCCCCCATCTACGGCCGTAGGGCCGGACGGTCACACCCGGCAAAGACTACTACAGTGCATGAGAAACGTCTTTCAGCCTCTACGTCTGGCGGAGGCAAACTGTGCGAATACCTCAGGGTGAGCTTTCTCCTCCGGAGTCCCTCCCGCTCCCGACGCCTCACCACCGCCGTCGGAGGCAGACAGGCGGCCACGCTCCTCTAGTTTCGATTCCAAGCACGCCGAGGAAGCACTATCCGCACCCCCGACAGCTGCGGCTTTGGCTGTGGCCTTCAAGCCATTTTCTTCTCTCGGAGCAGAAGCAGCGACGGCGGCGGCGGCGGGTGCCACCGGAGGCACCGTGCTCTCGTCAAACTCCTCCCAGGAGTCGGGGGGTTCCGCCAAATCATCCTCCTCAGCAACAGCCGCCGCTGCCGCCCTTCTCTCCTCATCGTGCTGCGCCCCCCCCTCCTCCCGATGCCCGCCGCACGTTCCCTCCCGCTCATCACCCGCCTGTTTGATGTCTCCATCTTGGCGCCGGTCGCTGAGATTGCTAGCACCAGCATCCCCGCAGAGCTCCGCACAAGCATCCTGCCCGCCCCCTTGAGTGCCCTGCTCACCACGATCGCCGCAGCCTAAGCAAGCGCCGTTGAGATCACTGTTGCCCCCCGCCACTGCTGAGACGGGAGTGTCCGTAGTCTCGTTGTGATTTGTTGCTAGCGGCACTGAAGATGGTGTCACCAGCCCCTCCTTCGTTGCAGCCGCAGCGTCCGTGCCGATTCCCCCCCGGTGCTCTTGATCGTCTCGATGTCGCTGTTGTTGCTCTTGCTCTTGCTGCTGTTCCTCCTGCGGCTGCTGTTGAAGCTCGGAGGGGCCCACGCTCCCGTTGGCAGTCCCGCCGGGAGCGGCCCTAAGGAAGGTCAGCGAAGACTCAGAAACCACGGGAGCAGAGCTCACCCCATGGCATTCACGTACCTATTTCGAGGCATAGGAAACAAGAGGAGAAGGACGAGGGAGGGTGGACGATTGTCAACATTAGGCAGCCGGGCGCGCGGGGGGGGGGCACTAAATTGGTTTTGTGTTATTATTTTTGCCTATGTGAAAGGTTACCTCAGAATGTCTGCTAGATTGTGATGTGTCAGATGACCTGTCGGAGGTCTACACTGTACCTTCGGGGTATTACCACAGACGGACACAGCAGTGGACACGCACAAGTACCGCCGGCCAGCTGCCTCCTCTGTCACAACCCATGGTATCGTACACCGTTCTCCCTTTGTCACGAGAGTTGTGTCCTTCACACCAACCATTACACAAGGAACCTAGAGCCGCAGCGAGAGAACCTGGAAAGACCCTTCTTTCTCGTAGTGCTGCGCAGGGTTGTTTTCGACAAGCGTGGACTTGTGTTGGGTCTTGTGGGGTTTCGGGCTCACCATGACAGTCATGACCAAGAAAAAGAAACGTGATCATGGCCCTAACCGTGGACCACACACACCACAGCAACAGAAGTAAGTCCACGCTTGGCGCATAACAAGCCCAGGTAGCGCACTGCCGCTCACGCCAACTTTTGGAAACAACCGTCTTATGCCATCTGTTCGTATGTTCAGAGCGCCATGTACGTTTCACAACATCAACATGACAAAGCAGAATTCACCGCATTTCACTGCAAAGACTTCAACCCATGCCCTTCGACTGTCATCTTATCTCTAACGGGTAGTCTCTCTTTGATATGTTAACCCATGCCCTTCGACTGTGGTTATATCTCCAATGGGTAGTCCCTGTATATTTCCCAAAAAAATGGAAGCAGCAACGGTGACAACGCATGCTATTGAGCCTGACCTTCTGCGCGAGCTCCGGGGACAAAGCCAATCCGACGCCGAGCCCAAATCCACCTGCTGCGGCCTCCCCAGCCCCCCCGCCGCCGTTTGCAAGAGCTTCGACGAGAGCGTTACCGCTACTGGATGACCGCTCGGTGTTATTCATGGTGTACGTCAACTATGGATATAGCTGGGGGGGCGGCTACTGCTGCTGCCTTGGCCCTCTTTGGGTCCTTAGCAAAACACATGCGAGCACGTTTCGGGGGGGGTCGGGAACAGGGAATGTTAGCATTCGTCCGTGCACATTTGCCTTGGGGGTTGCCCCTACCCGATGGTAACTCATTCGGTTGATGTCTACTTCCGCTCTGGAGACGTGTACACAAAACACCCTTCCTTGAAAAAACGTGCGCTGGGTTACCAGGCCGCAACATGGTAACATCTGCGTAGCAGAGAGCTGCTGTGGTGTCGATCATGTAGAAAGGGAAACCATGTTGTCCGATAACATAGTCAGTAAGAGAGATTAACCCCCAGCAGGGTACAATACAGCAGAAAAGGACAGTTAGCACCCGCGATTAAAGAAACAAACCTTCGAGACGAGAAACAAAGGCAGGCTCAAAGTTGCGCGATAAGTAAGATCGTACGTATGCATAGCTTACATCGACTGTAAGAAACACACCTCAGCCGTGGACCCCACACCAAGTTCTATATAATGAACGAATGAAGTATGCTCGACGGTGGTGACGAAATAAGAAACTGAGCCTCGACCCCAAATCGACATTTCTTAACCGCGAGCGCCAAGTGCATATACTCGCTGGGTCCCAAGCCTTGGCTTGATAGAAGACCACGGCCGGGTGTCGCCTCTTCGTGGGGCTTGATGTCATCTGCCGCAACAACCGTTTCTAAGCGCAGCCCAGACGTACATAGACAAATGTTGCATGGAGAGAGGCTGCCAAAGTAGTACAGAGCCGAACGCACTGCGTACGAGACCTAAACCTGCTGTTGTGTGGGTACAGTAGTAGAAGTGCCGGACGCAGGGCGCTGGGCGCAAACATAGTAGTGCTACCGACAATCGCGCTGCTATTGTCAGCTCCAGGAGCCAGGAGCAAGCGGATAAAACAGGATAAAATAAACACCCTGAAGAAGCCGAGTGCCACCAAGTGCGAACACCATGCAGTCGAGAGCAGTCCTGACTAAGTTCTGCCCGACAAATTACCCAGACATGAGTCATAGCAGTTTATCTCAGTGTAGCGCTTGATCGCCATACACGGGCATGGCAAAGCTTGTGTGTCCTTGTGTGTCCCTGTCGGGGGGTTCGCGCAATTTTTCATTTTTTCGGTGAATGGCCTGCCATTGTCAAAGCCTTTCATGTCACCCTCAAACACCCCCCGAACCAATTTACTCACCTTGGGAGTATCTCCCGACCCAACTCGGACACGCGTGGACTGAAGGTCAGCCCCTACTCGGCAGCACACATCGGCAAGTCCACATGCAGCGGCCAGCAGCTACGGCCCACCCCGCCTTCCCAATCGCGTGCCCCCCTTGATCACTGGCTCTCCTCCGACACACGTGCGTTCGGTCCATCCAAGCAAGGTTGCTGCTAGACGAGACAGCGCTGGTACCATGCAATTGTTGATCCGGAGGCTTGGTCCTGGCGTAAATTCCAGGTATGTATGTGTATGTACAAGTATGTTTGGGTGAAAATGTTGTGTGGAGTGCACTGCACGTGCACACCGGAGGCTGACAAAACTGACAGTCCCGGTTGTGTGTTGTGTGCCAACCAACGAGAATTTGAAATGTTGAACACCAGTTAAGGGCTCCGCCAGAAGACGCTCGCTGTGCTGTTCGACATTTGCGGCTGCTGTACAACCCGTCGCAAGCTGCTACGAATCTGAAACACGCGGTTTCCATGTGCATTCACCAACACCATACTTCACTCCGATGTCTACATGTCAAGTGTCAACCAGGCAATAGGAACGTAGCCTGCTGCAAGTAGACTCAAGTGTCGAGGTGGCGATCGTCGTCTGCCGCTGCAGCCCGCTCATCGTGGCCAACTCGTCTACATGAGAAGTACGAACACTCGTGGCCCTTCTGGCTGTCGCTTATCGTGTGAACCCACATCCGAAATCACGTCTAAATTACGTCTGGTCTGAACTGTTCTGTCGTGGGCACGATAATCTTTGTCTTCATGTTTAGTCTAGAGCAGTTGGAGGCGATACTTTCAGACTCAGCGCAACGTAGGTTGCGAAGATAACGCACGCCTTGGACATGCTTTCAAAGGTCGATGGCTCTGCAACAGAAACGGTGACGATGCAGGAAATGGTAGCGCTGGAACCGTCTCGTCGAGAGCTTCCGAAACCTGTTCATTCGATTTTGGCATCCTCTTGCATCGTTGATTAGTGGAGCTTTGAGACTCGGTCATGGGGCGTGTGGTATCTTATTCAACCTGCAGCACGTTATGTAATACTGGTGCATTTATTGAGCTTGGTGCCGCGCTCTGTATTGAGAGGCTCGACAAGGCTCGACTCTCGTTCTTGTACTGTACAAATATATCGCCTTCGCTTCCTTCTAACCTTGGTAAAATGCTAAAGAACGGCGAGCCTTGGCGGGCCCGTCTGAACGGCACCTTTCTAACCACGGTGGCCCTACGGTGCAACGCAACCCCAATCCGCAGGAAAACCCTGGCGTGCGTTCTAACGCCGCCACCAGCAGGAGGAACGAGACATGCGGTCACTTGTTTCTCGGCCCCTTCCGCTGCCGCGCCGACAACAGCACCTCCTACACAACGGTACTACCACCACCACCAACAACGACAACAGCGACAACAGCTGCAACGACAAAGCAGGAATCTAACTTCGTCGGGCAGATACCAAGCGCCTCGTGCCGTTCCGAAGAACGTTCTCCGCCGACGCAGCAGCACCGCATCCGAGGCAACAGCAGCAACAGCAGCAGCAGCAGAACAGCAGGGGGGTTCCCCCGCTAGCGCCGGCGGCGGCGCCCCCCCGTTCCCGTCAGTTTCACGGGTCGACCCGGCAGCCGCGGAACAGGAGACCGCTATTAAGCGAATGAGCCGAGAGGGGGATTGGGAGGGCGCCCTGGAAATGCTGCAGCGCATCAGGTTCGGGGGTTGGAATTGTCCTCGTTGGGGGTACTGCCGCTCCTGGCGTTGTTTTGTTGGGGAGGGAGTTGGATCCCGCCTGAGATTTGATGGACGTGTGCTTGTGCCGCCCTTCGGCCTTACGGAGGAGGGAGTGCAGCCTTGCATGAGCATGCTGGCTGTGCGCGCGTGTTGGCTGTCGCGAAGGTGATCGACGTGTGCTTGTTTTCGTGTCTGCGCTGTGCTTTCCACGGCATGAAGAGAGGAAGGGGTCAAGACTTGCCTTTTGTGTACGTACGATCAAGGAAAACGAACCAGAAGTTACTTTGTTGGTGCGCGTGTTTCGTACTTGTGCTTGTGGTGGTCGTTTGACGAGATCGCGTTTTTTGTCTGCTTCGTTGCGTGCCTTGCTCGGCAGGGACAAGGGGATGAAGCCTTCCATGTCGACCCACATGGACGTGATCAGCGTGTGCAGACGAGCCCTGGAGTGGGACCAGGCATCCAAAGCCTACAGGTGTGCTGAAGTTGTTATTGGTATAATAGTGGTGGGGTTGTGTTGTTGTGTTGTTGCTGGTGGTGTTGTTGTTGTTGTTGGTAGTGGTGGTGATGATGGTGATGTTGTTGTTATTGTTGGTGTTGGTGTTGGTGTTTTTTTATTTTGCTGGTGACGGTGGCGAGTGCTGTTGCTATTGTTGTTGTTGTCGCTGACGCTGGTGCTGTTGTTCCTCACCCAAGATCATCGCCAAAACAAGTAGGGAATGCACCCGTACCCACATACGGCGTTTGTTGACGTGACTTGAAACGAGCCTTATCGCACTCACCTCCCGTATCCTAAACCCATTCCTCACTACACATGTCGGTACGGTTACCCCACCCTGTCCTCACGGTTCCATTCGAGATCTACGAGATCTACGTATTGCCTCTCGTGGATGCTAGTTTCACCCCCGCGTTCCGTGCCTCGCATCCGCTTTCCTTCCCTGGAAGAGAGATGATAGAGGCACATCTGACGGATCACCCGTTCGACGACATGGCCTGCCAAGACTACGAAGACGAGTCCAACCACGTATTCGCGAGGGCGTGCGGGATAGTGGCGGGGATGCAGGCCGACGCCGGCATCAAGCCGAACAACGGGACTTACAGGTGAAGCAGACAAACAAAGGGGCGTCGCCCTTTAACCTTGCTGCTGTATTTTCACGAGATAACACCCCCAGGTACGAACGTTTTCGGCCTTCAAAATGTTGTCAACGGGGCGTGGTATATACCGCGGTATATTCCGTGGTGGGGGTGGTATCTTCGGTGACCCTGTCTCTTGCTCTACGAGCAGTTTTTCGCTTTGGGCTCACGTTGAGCCACAAAAGATTTTCACCAGGTGTGGCATGTTTTGTGGGAGGGGGGGGTATTGTCTTGTGTGGAATATGGTACCGAGCCGGAAGGAGGCCGGAGACTCGGAGACTCGTCTAGCCTCGTCGTCTTGTAACATGCGAGGTCACCGTGGGCACGTCGGCAAGCGGTGGGGCCGAGCCCCAACAACGGGACCTCGGTAGAGGGGAGACCTTGCGTGGGGTTCTTATGCGCTCAGGCGGTACTTGGAACTTCCACTGTTTGCGAGTGCTTGTGCTTCGGTGAAGGTTGTTGGGGCGACGAGAGTGTGGAACCGGACCTACGGTATGTGGGATGGGGCAACAGGCACCCATAATGAAGGCAGCACCAATCAACCAACAACAACAACAACAACAACAACAATGAAGACAACGCCAATTAATTAACAACAGCAACAAACGTGCTCCTCAGGGCTCTGCTGCAGCTCTGCAAAGACGAAGGGAGCTGGGAGGCGGCAATCCTGCTGCTGGAGCACTCCCGGCGATCCAAGGCCAAGCTTAACCTCTTCTCCTTCGACCTTCTCATCACGGTACGGAATGTCCGACTTGCCGTGAACGTGTGTCGTTCGGAGGGCTACTTTTGTCGATGCACGTACGGCTTGAATAGAGCTATGCCGTGGTCAAGACGTATTCAACGTTCTGCGTGAGAAGAGCCACGGACCGTCGTCGGTGCTGTCACGGTCATGACTGTCTTCACGCATGAATATTGTCCTGCTGGAAGAAGAGACACCCGGCCGGTGCTACATGGACGTCAGAACGGCATTTTAGTGGACAACGACGACCACGAAAACGTTATTGCCACTTCGCCCTAAGCACCTGGGCGCATTTTTCTGTGACTCAATATAAAAAATGTATATATTTTCCAATGGGGTGCTGTATGTGCGTTATGCACGAGACGGCCTACACCAGTAGAACAACCTCCCGTGAAAGTCGGCACTGTTCGATTCCCGTCATGAGTCTTGAGCAACTACAATTTTTTTGCCAGACAACGAAATGTTAGTCGGGAAAAAGGTCCTAGGCCTGGGTACATAATTACGCACGTATGTGCCCTACGGCAGCATCCGGCTGAGTACATAAACCTGGTACGGGGGAAGAGAGGAGGCATCGAATTTGGCCACGGTTCCAGCTAGGATTTTCATTCCCCCAGCCTATATCAACTTACCCTACGCCTCTCTCACTCGATGAATATCCTTGTTGCACTGGATCATCTTACGTTGTGTAACTCACTCTCTCGCCCGAATCTTCTCGGACAGCTCTTGTTATGTTGAAGCAGTTTCATCTCTACCCCCCTCCCTCCCACAACATCCAGACCGTGGCGAAGCAAGGGTACAAGGAAGTAAGCACCATGCTGTACGAGCTGGGAGTTGTAGATGCAGACCGGGCGTTACTCGAGACCGAGGGGAACGGGGACGGGGACGGGGACGGGGACGTGGAGTGGCCGAAGTGGCCCCTCAAGGTCGGGCGCACAGGCGGAGCGATACTTGAGCTGCACGACCTCACCCAAGGCATCGCGCTGTAAGTGTCTTCTTCTCGGTTACGGTGTGTTGCCTGGACTTGTTTCGGCAATCTCGGTTTGTTTGCGGGGGGTTAGTCGCACACCTGGTTGATGGAAAGGGTTGCGAGGTTTGATTTACATCAACCCCTCCGGAGATCGTTACCGTGATATGCATGTTGTTGATGGCATGGCACGCTGTGGTGTCTCGGTTGGCGCACACGACAAGATTCGACAGGGGCACGCAGATTCTTGTTCAAGAGCAGGCGGCGTTTGTGTGTGCCTTTTTTCTTTTTTCTTTTTTTGAATTATCATCGACCGCACCAACCGGCGGACCAATGAAAAGACGTCAGCCTCAGTGCGGCTGAAACATCTTCGAAAGTGTGCGCGTGTCTACTTGAAGAGGCGGCGTGTGGTGTGTTTGTGTGTATGTCTTACGTTGTTAGTTAACGTCGGCCGCGCTCACCAGCTGACCAATAGGATGTTTCTGTCAGTCGTTTTGGCGGATTCTACATCACGAACGCGCTTTCTCGCAAGGCTCCCCGGCCATGTAGCACATCAAACGGGCACGTTCCCACCTTGTATCCCACTCTAGTGTGTGTACATGTAGCTGTTGCCATGGTTTAGACGGGGGGGAGGCGGAGGGGGGATTCGCGGAGGGGGGATCCGCGTACCCCCTCCCCACCCGTGGATTGGAAGCAAGCCACGCCTCCGTCTCTCCCCGATGCTGCTGCCTCGTGGGGCTGCGATGAATCGCGATAGGTCTGCTTGGGGTTGAGCGCGACAACAACAGGGCGGCGGTGCAATAAAACTACGTAGTGGACCCCCCCTTACAAACGGCGCAGCTTCGCATGCCTTGCATGGTTCTAAAAGCAGCAGCAGCAGCAGCAGCAGCAGCAGCAGCTTAACCTTCACTATCTAGCACTTCCACGGCCAGCGTGAAGAGAACAGCAACAACCGCACGCTTCGTTCACCCGCAATCACAGGGAGACGGTGCAAGTGGCGTTGTTGGATGTTATTCGGAGGCCTTTGCGACGGCCATACTGGAGTGGAGACAAGCGGTGGCGGATAATCACCGGCATGGGGAACAACAGCAAGGACAGGGAGGCTATCATCAAGGTGACCACCCGCAAGAGCTGGTGCTGATGTTGGCGCCCGATGGTGTGATGTTGGCGCAAAGGGGGAAGGCATGTTTTGCTGATGCTTTGCTGCTGTTGTCTTCGTTGTCGTCCGTTGTTGATGATGTTGCCGCTGCTGTTGTTGTTGATGATGCTGCCGCTGAGGTCGGCGTCGGTGGCGTGGATGTTGGTAGTGGTGTTGTCGATGCGAATGGCGGCCATGACCCGCCAGTGTTGCTCACATTGGTGGTGGTGGTAGTAGCATTATGGTATCCGTGGTACTCCAAGTCCGTCGCGTGAGTCGCGATGCCAGATCGTTTCTGTATTGCGTTCTTGTCTTGCCTCCTTTTTGTTGTTTGGTTTCATTTCGTGTCATGTCTTTCGTTCGACCCCTGTGTTTTTTTTTTTTTTTCATGTTGTCGTGTTCAGCCCGCAGTCGTGGAGCTGCTGGAGGACTTGGGCCTGAGGCCGGAATTCCAGCAGCGCAACGAGGGATGCGTCGAGCTCAAGCCCGCAAACCTAGAGGCATACATCCGACGGTGCGTCGTGTTGCCTTCCTCCTTCCGTGCTGCTTACTTCCGTGCTGCTTGCCGTGTCATGAGTGAGTGCGAACGGTGATGCTGTACTACCTAAATAGTTGCTGCCGGTGTAGATGATGGCCCGGTCAACCCGTAACGGCGTTAATGACCTTGTCTGGCTATCTTTGGCCGGATCGTACCTCAGGCAGGTCACGAAAGCATCAGCAGCATACGTAGAGACTGACTCGCTGTAGTGCTGGACTACCAAGAAGAGGACCGACAATTCCACCGTGTTGCTGAGACAATCGCCTTTTTTTTTGTGTCTTTTCGGTCTCAAGCTAGTGGAGGATTTCGGTGCTACTTTTGTTTTTGGCCCAGATGTTTGGAGTTGGTAACGATTTTTTTTTCTTAAAAGACTACCCCGCTTTCCACCCACCCCTCAGATCAACGCCTCTCGCGGTGCCCCCGGCGGTGTAGACATGTTGTCCTCGTAAAGCTACATGCTATGCCTCTGATCGTAGCAGTTGTGAGATATTCTCTCTCTCTCTCTGGAGTGAAAAAAGTTGGCATTTTTGCGTTGAAAACGACCAATTGTAAATTCGTGAGTATTCACACACTTGGAATTCCCCGTAGACGAGGGAACGGGACGGCTGAACCCTTCTCGCGATGTAAACTCTAGGCAACCTGTATGACTTTGTGACCTTTCTCCTTTGTGACCCCGGCTGATGTGCATACGTCAAACACATACTGTAGTCTACACCGAGAGAGGCGTGAAAACACGCCTCACATGTTTAGAGGATGGATAGAGGTGTTTTTGAGAGCGGCTCGTCTGAGCGGTGGGTGGCAAGCAGGTAAGTCTCAAGAAAAATAGAGCCGTGACGGGTTATCTACGTGCATCCAAAATCTGAGCCAACGAATGTCCGGGCAAGAACCTGCTCAAATACCAACTTTTTTTTTTTCATCCCTCGTCACTGACCCACTCACCCATCCGCCCCCGCCCCCCGCCACAACACGATTTACGGGCTAAATACACCCGATGGGGTTCAGGATGAAACGCCGGGGTGCGGCTGCTGCGTCCACCCCTCCATAGCCCTTGTCTGGGCGGGCGCGCTCTCGACTTCATTTTTGCTGATCGAGGTGGCGGTCTCTCATCTTTAGCCATCCCCATATCTATTTCCGCGATGGCCGTCGTGGTTGGTCTTTCGAGCGTGGCTGATTGGTGTAGCCGGCCAAGTCAGAGGCAACAAAACACAGTATTGCTAGAATGAGGAGCAGATGAGATTGATTGCTCGAAGGAGGAGCAGACGAGGAAGGTGGCGGTCTTGGAAAATCTATCTTGTTGTAGTTTTTGTGCTATACGTGCTATGAGTGACACGAGCATTTTCTTTCTCGGCGTTTCTTTTTTGGTACAAGTTGATTCGGGGGGACGTGCTGCTAGATTTTTCTCTTCCCTCGCTCCAAAAGCAAAGCATTTTTCCACCGCTTGTTCCCAAGAGAGGAATAGCGATGATCCAGTTTTTCCTCGGCGTTTTTTTTTTGTTTTTTTGGAGACTTGAACGTTTTTAGGCGAGGTTTTGGCGGAACTGTTGTTCATGTTGTGATCGTGTTTTGCGGAAGGAGGTGATCCTACCTTCATCATTTAATCTAGTCTAGTCCGTTACAGCGTGTGTTCGCGGCAATGATTCTGACAGCCTGAACCCTGAAGGGGCTCGCACGAAGGGTTAGCAAGGGTGGGGGGGGTGACGGGGGAGCACCAACTCTCGTGGTGGGGGACCTTGTCTAACTTCTGTCTAGAGAAGTATCGCTACTGTATGTCGTCATCATGCTTTTTGGCGGGTCAGAATAAAGTCCAGGGCCTGGGGTTGGTTGAGCCACCGTGTGCTCGCTCGAACGTGGGAGGATGGGTCATGTTCTATTTCGAACTGGGGGGTTGGGCTAAAAGGTCGGAGACTGCGCCCTTTGCACCTGGTCCCTATAATAGTACAAGCGGTATCTTCTTCTTTGTCCATTCTGGCATGTCTGCGAACCTGCAACATGTTCTATCGTGCTTGGGGACTTTTGCTATGTTTAGAGTCGCCTTCGCCTCCGCTTGCTTGTTGTGCAAGAAACGTTTTCTTGGACGACGACTGAAACGACCAAAACTGGTGAATGAATACTCGGGATGCTTGTTGCTGTTGTTCAGCACGGGAATGTCCCCCCAGCTATTGTACCATTATTGTATTATTATTGTAGGATGCACCTTAACTTTATTTAGACCGATTTGTCACAGCGGCAGCGCTTCTTCTCATCGTCGCCACCTCCCACTATATATAAGAAACGGCTTGTTCACTGCGGTAGGGATCATGTAATGCTCTGCGGTCCACATGGTTGCCATATTGGCGGACGTTTGACGTGTTCATGCTACATCGGTCGCCGGCGGTTTGGTTGTGGAACATTTGTACAACCACGTTGGTTGCCCTGCCTTCCACCCGCACACAGCGCACGAAAAGGGTATCAAGTGCTACGTAGAACACAGTCAAGTGTTTTGGCGAAAAAATGTGACGCGAATGGATCAATCTACATCTCCGTTTGTTTATCAAAATGTAGCACCATTCTATCTCCAAGACCAACCAATACGCACACACGCGAAAAACTCTTGCTCCCTCGTTCTTCACATGGGAGATTGGTTATATGTACTCTAATTGTCTCGTTCATTCCTCTACGCTCCTCAGACTTGCCCCCCCCCCCCCCCCAA